AGCACCCGCTTCCTGGGCTTTGGGGGCTGTTCCTTGGGGCTGGGGCAGGTAACAGCCTCATTGCTCCGTCTCTGGAGAAGTCGGGGAAAGCTTCAGGCTTCGTCAGGAAGGAGTTCTGAGGCCCAGCACCACAGGCATCCCGCGCACGGGGGGGCTTGGCTTCTGGAATGGGAGGGGAGGAGACCCCGGGCGGGCAGGAGGCCGGCTGCCTTTCCTACCTTCCTGCCCCGGCCTGGCGTGGAGGGACAGGGGCGATGTTCTTTGTAAACCCATTTGTGAAGTGCCTTTTGGATGGTTATGGTTTTTTAAAATCCCTAAGTTTAAACTAAGAATTGCACAAAAGTAAACCTGAATGTCCATCTCCTGACTTGTTTTCCCTGATCGACGTGGGTGTTGTGTGGTCGGGGGCGGCGGGGGGTTCTCTTGAGTGTCTGTCAGCTGGGACAAGGAGGAATGGGGCCCAGTGAGGCCGTGTCCCTCGGTGCAGAGAGGAAACAACAGGTCAGTGACTTTGCCCGAGGCCATACAGGTCGGAAACAGCCAAGATTCAGACTGGGTCCCGGGTGGTGCCTTCCCCAGCAGCCCCTCTTCCAGCTGGGGCGGCCCTGCTGGAGGCCTCAGAGATGGACACCTGACAGTGGAGCTCAGAGCTCCCTTCCCTAGGGTGTGGCTGCCCCCCTGCACCACCAGCCTAACTATCTGTCCCTTAGAGGATTCGAACCCAAGTTGGGGTTGGGTGGTTGTGTCCTGTGGTTCAGCAGCAGCAGATTCAGTAATGTCTTCACTGTCCTGGGCACCACCTTTGGTTGGCCAGATGCACGGGCACAAGGTCACCCGAGTGTGCCTTTGGGTCAGGGCTCAGACTGCTCGGACTCCTGTCGAGCATCCCGGTGGCTCCACTCTTGCATGTGGGCGTGAAGCCTGTCGCTGTTCCGCCCTACCTGAGAGTCAGCCTCTCTGGACCTCGGTTTCTTCATCTGTAAAGCCATGAGAGGGTCCAGTTCCTAGACGAGTAGCCTGTGGGCAGTGCAGTGCACAGAACTCTGGGCTGGAGAGTTAGCAAGACCTGACTTCAAATCCAGCCTCAAACGCTAGCTGTGACCCTGGGCAAGTCCCTTAACTACTGCTTGCCTCAGTTTCCTCATTTGTAAAAATGGGGATCATAACAGCACCTACCTTCTGTGGGGTTGGGAGACTCCAGTGAGATCATCTTGGCAAACATAGCAAGCCTTAATACGTTGTGAGCTCTGACTCTTGTTACAGACCCTTACAGCTCTCAGGCTGTGGTGGACATTTTGCTATAGTGTTGTCCACACCTTGTAACCAGCCCCTGAACACCCTCATTACATTGATGACCCTGAGGCTTCTGGCCCTGCCCCTGCAGCATGGGCTCACCTTCCCAGTGGGCGTGGGCTTCACCCAGACCGCCAGATCTTTATCAGAACCATGCCTGCGGTCCCCGCCTGCTCAGAGGATTGAGGCTTGACATTTAGCCGGATGGAATTTCATCTTCCATTGGGCCTCGTGCTCCAGCTTGTGCAGATCGCTGCTTCCTGCCTTGTGAGCTTGTCCACCATCGCCCCAAACTCATACAGCAAAGAGGAATCTGGAGATCTGGAGTCCTTCAGAGACTGTACGTCACTCAGTTTTCAAATCTGTAAAATGTGTCTGACGTAGTAGGCAAGCAACCTGATGGAGGCGGGAGGGCGTGGGGCAAAAAGCTGATTATTTCTAAGGGCAGACAAGTGTTGCACCGCTCTGTACGGGGGCCCCTTTGCCGTCCCCACTTCTGAACAAGCACAGATGTCCTCTCTCTGCCATGAGGAGGACATGTCTAGTGTGGTGCATGCCACAGACCCAGGGACATGCTGATAGAGCAAGATTTGCTCCCAGGTCTCTCCTTCCTGATGCTCTGGGGTGTGTGTGTGTGTGTGGTGTGTGTGGTGTATGTGGTGTGTGTGTGGTGTATGTGTGGTGTGTGTGTGTGTGGTGTGTGTGTGTGTGGTGTGTGTGTATGTGTGGTGTGTGTGGTGTGTGTGTGTGTATGGTGTGTATGTGTATGTGGTATATGTGTGGTGTGTGTGTGTGTGGTATGTGTGGTCTGTCTGTGTGTGTGGTATGTGTATGGTGTGTGTGTGTGGTGTATGTATGGTGTGTGTGTATGGTGTGTATGTGGTGTATGTGTGGTGTGTGTATGTGGTATGTGTGCGGTGTGTGTATGTGTGTGTGTGTTGGGGGGGGTGTTGCTTGTCTCCTGCTAGGCCACGAGCCAAGAGCTCACGGCCTCCTAGCAAGCCTGCACCCAGGATGGGGCTGGCAGAGGCAGCTGATTCTAAACTGTCAGGTGGGAAAACAGCAGCTGAGTCTGGTTTTCTGCAGGCTCCAGTGCCATGGGCCACTCTCACTTAAAGAGCATGGAGCAGACCGTGGCTGTGAGCAGAAGGGACCTGGCGGCTTCCTGACCTTTGGGCCCTGTCCTTTCAGTGTCATTGATGGTTGAAGCCCCGTCAGGGCCAGGTGGTCTGGAAAGCTGCCACCCTCTTCAAAGACCTAGACCTGCCCCAGTCCTTGAGCATGCATGCATGGGTGCAGATACACACACACACACACACACACACACACACAAACACACACACACACACACACACACACACACACACACACCCCCAAGGCCCAAGACAGATTCTCCCTTGTTGGCTTCTGGTTTCCAGTCAATTTGAGGTATCAAGGGAATGTTTCATATAAAAATGGGCATGATGAAAGAAAAAATGGTAGGGACTTAACAGAAGCAGAAGAGATTAAGAGGTGTCCAGAACACACAGAACAAGTGTACAGGGAAGATCACAGATACGTCGCCAATAACCACGATGGTGTGGTTACTGATCTAGAACCAGACACCCTGGAGAATGAAGTCAAGTGGACCTTAGAAAACATGGCTAATACAAGACTAG